TTCCAAATATATTCCATATATTTAAGGAAATTTCCTACAAATTTCCTTAAATTTCCATAAATTCCATATATATATATACCGTGTTAGCATACGGTATTTGTCTTTCTCTTTCTGACTTACTTCACTCTGTATGACAGACTCTAGGTCTATCCACCTTCATTACAAATAGCTCAATTTCGTTTCTTTTTATGGCTGAGTAATATTCCATTGTATATATGCGCCACATCTAATAAGCATACAAGAATTTGTTGTTGGCTTCTTTTCTTTTCAGGATTAAAAAAAAAGAAAACAGAACAAAAATATTGAAGGGTCATTTCAAAGTGACAGCTCTGATGATCTATGATCACAGTGTAAACCAATATGTTATGAAAATATATTACAAATTCAGTCCTCGGTGCCCCCTGCCGTATTTGTTTATTTTAGCATGTACTAGGTGTTGATAGTGTTAAAAAAAAAAAAAAAAAAAAAGGTAGAAAAGGGACAAAGTAGGAGATTGTTTTTTCCTCAAATGTTACCTTTTTGAGCCTTTTGTGATTTCTTTTGGTCTTTATATCCCTGTTGTGTTTTCTCCTCTCTTTGTTGTTTCCCAGCACCAATTTAGATATAAATATAATTAAAATACAAAACAATCTCTGTCTAAAGTCAAAGCAACGTGAGTCTTATTTTGCTTCTCTACATTATTACCAAGTTCTGCTTCTGTATCATTTACAGAGAAACACACATCATAAGCGGTCTGAAAAATCAAGACGCCTGTTTTCTAACCTGATGGGTGTGGGTGTGGGTTCATACACACCCGACACAAAGCTCGGGTTCTCCAAGCCTTCTGGTCATGTCAGCTTAGAGCAGACTTTGAGGGGGAGTTTGTTCACAGGATAGCCCTTATTCTTCCCACATACATACATCCTTGGACCTCAACGGGCTCTTTAGACATTCAAAATAAAGGGTCCTGTAAAACCACATGAAGGCAGAGAATGTATATAGGGGTCAAATGTGCCGCCTCCAGCACTTCACCCGTTTGTCCAGGCCTATCTTTGATCGATAGTGAACAACAAAATATAGTAAGTATGTAAAAAAAAAAGTGGAGTTCAGAGGCTGGGTGTTTTTCCCACTGCTGTGAACACTTCTAGGTTAAATATGTATCATGTTCATTTCCCACCTTTATTAAAAAGACGACTGTTTGAGGACTTAGTTACCGTTGGACTTCGCTTGAGTGGAGCCCAGGTACCTTTACTTAGAGAAGGCAGAAGTCATCAAGGCCGATGTGTCTGGGTTTGTCTCTGTTTTATTCCTCATTTCCAGTCCTTCCTCTCCTCTCTTTCCTTTTGTCAAGGACCTCCAAAGAATAAGAAACATCAGAGACAGGTCTGTGAATATGTAGTGAGAAAGGGAATTAAAATAGGCATCTTAGGAAGAAGGCTGAGTTTGAGAGGGAAGCTCAAGAATATGACCTTGGCCATGGCCAAGGGAGACCATATGACGAATATGACCTTGGCCGTGGCCAAGGGTGACCATATGACCAATATGACGTTGGCCATGGCCAAGGGGGACCATATGACCAATATGACCTTGGCCATGGCCAAGGGGGACCATATGATGAATATGACGTTGGCCGTGGCCAAGGGGGACCATATGACCAATATGACCTTGGCCTCTGAGGACCATAAAGATGCGGATGACAGTTAAAGATAGATATAAAAGCCCTGAACAAGCTATTAGCAAAAATAATCCCACAGCCTGTTTTATTTAGTTTTAAACCGTTTATTTACTTAACAATTACATAGTACTTATTATATCCCAGTCCCTGTTCTGAGCACTTTGAAACGGACTTGTTTAAAAGAATAACATTATAAAAATTTTTAAAGGAGTAACACATGATGGTTCAGAAGTTGTTCTTTCAGGAAGTCTAGGAGAGTTCAATTTTTTGTTTTGTTTTGGTTTATAAAAATATTTATTTATTTTGGCTGTGCCGGGCTTTAGTTGTGGGATGCGTGCGGGATCTAGTTCCCCAACCAGGGATGGAACCTGGGCCCCCTGCATTGGCAGCGCGGAGTCTTACCCACTGGACCACCAGGGAAGTCCCTAGGAGAGTTCACTTTTTTGAAACAGACAATTTTCTGACTAGCTACCAATTACAATTACACTTTCTCTTCTGTTTCCATATCTTATGGCTACCCTACCTTGTTTTACCTTGCTAATTGTAATTTATATCATTACTCCTCAAACTTTTTTTTTTTAAACAAACTTTTTAGAACTAGAGAAGAGACTAGTGGGCATGAATAGAAATTGTCTGCTTGCAGTTTCTTTGAAGTATTTTGTCCTAAAAATTCGTGTGATTTTTGCATTCTACTCCATACACAGTTTACATTTGTTTTAATATAAAAATCCTGTTTTTAATTAATTTTTTGTCCTGGACTTCGTGTACCTCATCACCGTGTAGTTAGGGGGATATAAAACCTTGGTTTGAAAAGAACTAATTTTTTAAAAAGTACTAACTTACATGATTTTGAGTTCATATCATTATATTTGGGTACATTGATCACCAAAAAATAAGTATAAGGGAAAAAAAAGTCTAAGGCTTACTGGATCTCTTGCATTTACTCTCTTTTCTCTCCTTCTGCCTGCCTTTTGGTTATATCACATACAGCTGGTTATAACATGGTGGTACTGAGTTGCTGATTTCAAAGTTCCTTGGGAAGCTGGCTAGCTTTATCCCCCCCAAATCCAAAAAAAAGAATATCGTGTTCATACTCTAACCCTAGGTGGAATTATCCGATAAATATAAACTGCTTGTCAGCAGAACCCATTCTCATTTGTAGGAAAATAACTTTAGGTTAATTTCCTATTAGGAAGCGTATTAGGTTTTACATTTCCCTCAGTATGTGTTTCGGGATAGGGTGTGGGGTGCAGGTGTGTAGGTGTAGTTAGTTGTAGGAAAAGCAAGGGAAGCTAATACCTATCATTTTGTTCCACTCATTGTGTCTGATAAAAATGTTGAAAGAGCTTTTAAGGAATACTGGGTTTACGTACCTGTTTATATGTTTGTATCCTTATAAATAACAACAAACACTCAACATAGTGCTTATACTATATACCAAGCACTTCTCAGTATTATATACGAATGCATTTATTCCTCACAACAACACTTATTTCATTTTCATTCTGATTTTACAGAATAATAATTAAATAACTTCCTCAAGGACATATAGCTAGCGAGTGGCAGAATTACTGTATCCATGAAGTCTGATACCAGAATCATTTTAGCTGTGTTTATAAAAGTTATTTATAAAAGTTTAAAAATTTTAAGGATATACTGCATAGAGCCTCCAGAATATAGTTAAGTGTTCAATAAATACTCATTAAATGAATGATGTGAAATGTGTCTAAAGTAGCACAGGAGTTGGTAGAGAGGCACACACTTCTAGGAATCTTTGGAAACGGGATCTTAAAACAACAATAAGCTATTTAGAAAACACAGATCCACTTTCTTCTCATGTAATGACCTAAGCCACATCATGTATGTACGTGCAAAACGGTTATAGTACTGACCCAGCATGGGGAATGGGTCCATTTATTTCACCTGTTCATTTGTTTAGTCACTCAGAAGTATATTCAGAGCCTCCTGCGGAGACAGCCATAGTTTGATGCACAGATGGGGAAAACACGGTCTCTTTTTTCCAAGCAGTGTACAAGGCTCAGGCAGGAAACCATTTGTACAACCTCACTATAAAGCAAAGTGAAGAATATCTTAAGTACCATGTTAAAAGTACAAATGAAATGTTGTAAATTCAAAGAAGAAAGATTTCTCAGAGCAATAAAAGTTAGAGAATATTCCATGAGAGAGAGGTATCTGAAATATGAGTAGAATTTTAATAGGAAGAGTCAAATTAAATACCCAGCATAGGAACTAGCATGTAGCAGGTGCTAAGTAAATGGTAGTTCCCTCCTTTCTTCTTAAGCAGTGAAACCAAATCCAGCTAGTTTGTATTTTTTGTTCTGTCAGATTACTCCCACACAGAATCACTAGTTCAGCCTTCTCAGTGTACTCAGAACATGGACTAGAGTGGAGAGCAAGGTTTCAAGCTTGTCTGCTTAGAGACATGTGATTGAAAGCAGGCTACTTCTCTGCATCCCAGAGATAAGATCCCAGGACAAATCGCATTTTTTAGGTACCTGAACAGTCACTTCACCTCTCCAACAAAGGGATTAAAGGAGACAATTCAGACAATTCCATCTCTAATTATGATTTTCAAGTTCAAATTTCTGCAAAGTTTTCCAAGTTCTTCTGAGTTGGCCTGGTTTTTCTTTTCAAAACTGAGCAGCCCCCCTGCAGAACCTGAGGCTTGGAGAGGTATCAGAGTGTCAGAGTGAGGGAGGCAGCGAGTTGGAGAAACTTCCCTGTGATTCTGATACGTCAAGAATCACCACTGTAGGCACCCCTGCTGCCCCTACCTCCCCAGACCCAAGAAAAAAATCCCAGAGTATGAAATTTGGGGTCTGCTGTGACCAAAAGAAGCAGTATTTCTCACTTTAAAAAAAAGGGAGATTTGATGGTAACTCTGCTAAGGTGAACTTCCAGCTTCCAAAAAGCAGCTGCCAGTGGTTCTGCTTCAGTGGGAGAGAGTGGATCCGCAGAATGCCCTAGGTCCCATTGTATGCAGTGCTTTTGGTGAATTGATGATATAAAGGAATTAAAAGAATACTCATTAAATTTGAAAGTGATAAGAGATCAAAAAAGGAGATTTTAGACTATTCTTTTAAAAACAGTAAAACCTCAGATGATCTCCTGTAAACTCTCTGTTAAGAGAAAGATTAAAGACCTTTCTCTGAGAGTTGAGACATAGTTTGTCCTAACTTCAAAGTCAAATTAACATCCACTTTGAAGGCAACACTTCTTAAGCCATTCCCATATGCTCAAGGCCTTCAGTATCTTTTAAGATCCAAATGAAATTCATAAACATTTTAAATAGTAAAAAAAAAAGCAGCATACTTAAAGGGCATCTTCTGTATACTCACCTAATTTGCATACCGGCTAATATAATTACAGCCACTGAATGCATATGCTGGGTGTTAAACCTGGGAATGTGTCTTTGCACATGGTAATGGCCTTTTAAAGCCAGATTAGCTATGTAAAGAAACTCATGTGGCTCTTTTCTGTTCAGAAGCACTTTCCCCCAAATCTAAATCTAAGTTTTTATTTTGCATTTTTATGTGTGCGTCTTAGCCCTTCTTTTCTGTACCCAAGGTAAGAGATATAAACAAAGAGGTGTCATCTGGGACTAGGATTAGGTACAATCTTCAGGTGTTTTTTTTTTTTTTTAATTTTTTTTTTTTATTGCGGTACGCGGGCCACTCACTGTTGTGGCCTCTCCCCATGCAGAGCACAGGCTCCAGACGCGCAGGCTCAGCGGCCATGGCTCACAGGCCCAGCCGCTCCGTGGCATGTGGGATCCTCCCTGACCTGACCGGGGCACGAACCCATGTCCCCTGCATCGGCAGGCGGACTCTCAACCACTGCGCCACCAGGGAAGCCCCTTCAGGTGGTTTTTACAGTTATAGGGCAGTGTGCTCCAGGGAGTGTGAGCTCAAGAAACAATTTGGTGGCACTCTCATTTTCTGTGGAATACAACTAATCCAGAACAGCTTGACCTTGGAGCCCAGAGGACTCAACTTGATGAAGAGCTTAGCTGGAGCTGAAGGGGCAGAGACCAAATGAATCATATCAAGTAGGACCATTATGGGGCTGAAGATGATTTCTAATTAATCTTTGATCCTCTGAGGTATCACATTTCCCAAATCTATGTGTCCATAAGGGAGCCAGTGAAAATCTGAAAGTAGCAATTTACCTAATCCTTGAACACCATGGCAGGCCTTCTACTTATGAAGGGCTGTCATTTTCCATTCTACACAAAAACAATTGTCTACCATTCTCCTGACCAAAGTGATATTATAATGAGGGCAAACGAAATAATTTTAAAGTCTTATTTTGATGCCTGTTTTACTAGCAGCATATTTACTCTTTCAGGAGCTCCTCAGGATGTACTACCTTAATGCCTGTTTTCTCAGATGCTGAAATCTTGAGAAAAGTTAACAAACTGACTTCTGTTAAATGGATCTGAAAAATAAATACTGTTTCATTCTAGAGCTTAAGTATTAATGACATCACGCATTTGCTTGCCTTTCTATTTCTCTTAAAGTCGAATGTCCTATGAGTCTGAAAACTCTACCTCTCTGTTCTTTTTAATAGGCATGTCCAGACATCCTCCAGCTCCCGAGATCCCTACCTTCTATCCCCTGTCTCCGGGTGGTGTTGGACAGATTACCCCACCTCTTGGCTGGTAAGATCCTTCCTGCAACATTTAGCCAGGCGTTTGAACACGTGTTCTTCTACTTCCCATTCATGGAAATTAGCTTTATGAATGATAACACTGGAGTTGAAGAAACTTCACATCAACAAGCAAGGTGCTAACTTTATTTCATTTCAATTTAAAAGATTAAAAAACATACAGACTTTGAAATGGATTGAATGCGTTTGCTAATATGTGTAGAAAATGGCTGTGTAGCATTTGCTTTGAAGCTTATAGTTTTATGGATTCAATTTGTGGCTTTGGGCATTTGCTATGCCTGTACAAAGTGTTTAGTGTGGATTTTTCTTTTCTAGTTCTTTCTGAACAACTTATATTTTTGAAACATAACCTTAGATGTATTGAATATCGATCTTTGCTTATAAATGGGCAAGTGAGATAAATGACAGATAACTAGGGAGAAATGCAAGTGCAAAAGCATCTTTTGAATTTTAATAAAATAAGCACCAGTTTGAGTTCAGAGGCGTGAAAAACTGATGTTTGGACTTCTCTTTGCAGAATCCAAATGCTCTCTATTTTGTTATTTCTGAAAAATCCGTAACATTCCTTTCAAATTTTTTTAATTGTAAAGGTAAAGGAAAAGAAATGTATTTAGGGGAGAAAGAATCACTGCATGTGATGTAGCCTATTTTTGTCATTTTATTGTTAGCGCGCAGCTTTCCCTGTTCCCACTTCCCTTCCTCTCCTCTCCCTACCGCTCACTCCATGGACAGAGCGCTGCAACTTCAGCAGATGTTTTCTCTCCTTTCTTCATCTGGCTCTCAGTCCCCACAGCTCCCACGTCAAGGCCCCAGTTTCCCTACCTTGACATCCTTAGATTATCTCTTCTTCATAAGGAGGCTCATCTTGCCATGGAAATTCCAGCTTTCCCTCTTCTCTTTGCATTAAATCTCTCAGTCAGTAACTCTGTCTGAATTTAATTGATTATGCAGATATTTTCAAAGCTACAGCAATTATTCTCTCTGAACTTAGCTACTCAGGGGCAATAATCCTGGGCCGAGTTGCACCAGTGGCATCTGGAAATAAAGACCGTGTAAATGCGAAGTGTGAGATGTAGGAAAAGCAGAGGGAGAGATGGAATTCTCAGAGGAGAGAGAAAATAACTCCGATGAGTCGATCTTTTATTTCTTCCCTGTAGCATGGATATATAAGGGGGGGGGGAAGTGCAGTGTTTTAAAAACTTTGTTCATTTTTATGTAAATATAAACTTTTATTTCCTTCTTTCTTCCCTTCCCTGAAATGCTCAAAGATTCTGATAAAGAATCTACTAACCTAAAAGGAGTATCTCACCATTCTCAGGTTCTGTTATATTCAGTAAAAACATTGTTTACCTGTTGTTCAAAGCATTCGTGGGGATGGGAGAGGGGAAGGGATAGACGACAGGTCGTTCACGGACGGCGGTGGGAGATTTCCTTCAAGGCAGAAGATGCTTTGGTTGGGCGGAGGGTGTCCAGGAAGGGAAGGAGACGGGTGACTGAAGCAATGCCCCGGTAACACTCCCCCCAAATTCTGGTTTGAGTTCCTCCCCTCCTGAAACTCTTACTGCTGGTTGGTAAGTCATGCTTTGTCATTGATGGGTTCCTTTCTTCTGTGACCTCAGGCAAGGTCAGCCTGTATATCCCGTCACGGGAGGCTTCAGGCAACCCTACCCATCCTCCCTGTCAGTCGACACTTCCATGTCCAGGTAGGTGGAGGTGGAACCGGGCGCTCCAGGACAGGCTGCCCTTCCTGCGCTTGCAGCTCGCGCGCCTCTGCTTGCCTCTCGGTCCTGGCCGGGCGGGTGCACGGCTCGGCCTGCGCGTCTGTCTGCGCAGGGTGCCTGGCTCCCACACTAGGCGTCCCGGAGGGTCCTCCCCCAGCAGCGCCAGCCACGCCCACCAGGGGGATGGACTCGGCCGCCCCGGGAACCCGTGTCTCCCTCCAGAAGACTTCGCTGCCACCTGACTGTGGGACGGGAAACGTCCCCAGAGGGGACATTATCAGAAGAGCTTGTTCGATTCAAAATATGATGGGGGTGGGGTCGGGGGGGCGGAGAATAGAGACCGGTTTGATCTGAGTTTTCTAATTTGCTCTCTATGAGGAAAGTTGTATCAGTTTCACGTGCCAGTGTTTGAAAACGCCCAGATAGTCTAGAGCCTTCGGGACCAAGGCCGTCGGAAGAGAAGGGACGGTGCTCACAGGCTGTCAGGCCATACGGGGCTGCATGTCCTAGTGTGTGAATCAGGCCCCGTGTGGACACGTTGGTGCAAGCGAAGCTCTGTGAGGTCTGCTGTGCCACACCGCTGTGTGTAATGCTTTTGCCTCTGGAAAGGATGGCTTCTGTGCCCTGTGCTTTGATGTACACACACATTTGTGGTGTGTCATCTGCGTGTTCAATGTGGCTTTTTCAAGGGAGCTAGCATTAACGTGCTAGAAGTCAAACTGTTGGGTTAGTAACTGGTTGTGAATCTTTACTTTTTTACATCGGTATGAAATTCGCAGTTTTCTGTGGCGAATTTCAGCTTTTAAAGAAACGTTATTTTTTCAGTAGGTTGTAAATCTAGCTGATTGCGAGAGGATGAAATTAATATCCTTCCCCCCAAATCTCTCTGTACACTTTTTTTTTAACATTGTAAGAATTGTGTGACGACGGGATTTTCTCACGGGCAAATAACCAGCATCATGTATTTTTGCAAATGGTACAGTTACCAGAGCGTTATGATTTGATCAAATGTTTGTATTTTTCCCATGCCTCCTTAATTTTTAAAAATTTGTTTCTGAAATATTACATATCCAAGCAGAGTCCCTTCTTTCCTTCCCAGAAGAAGGAATTAACTGTACAGGCGGCGATGAAAAGACCTGAGAAAGTTGTTTTTGTTGAATTAAATTGTTGACTTTAAAAGAGCTTGAGAAACAAAAATTTCTAAAGCGTATCCAAATTTATCCAAAGAGCCTGTTGAAAGTTCTGTCTTCATTTGTTTTATTTTTCTTGCATGGCTGTTTCCCTCCTTTGTGTTGGATGGTAGTTGGATGTTTTAAGATTTGTTTAATGCTCTACAAGTATACTCTGGGAAAAAGCCTTCATTTTAGCATACGTAGTTTTTACCTTGAAGCAGAACTGTATCCTTCCCTTTAATTAAATCCTTCCCCTTAATTTTGTTATCAGTTTTCCATTAGGCCAGATCTCTCAAACACTACTTTCTTTATGTGTAGAAAATTATTTGGGGTGATGTTGATGGTGACCTTATTAAATTGGGGACTGAACAAATCTTCCAGTCCCCTGTCTTCTCAATTGTTCTCTCCTAGTAGTAGGAAAAAAGCCAACAGGAGAAGAAGACTCTTAATGTGAAGGTTTGCTTAGGAATGTAGACAGAGAGTTTAAAATGTGATGTCTTTAGATTTTTTAATCATTTAAAAAGCTAAATCTTCATATAGTGTTATATTTCCAGTAATTGTTCTTGAAATTCTTCTCTGAAAACTGCTTTGCAAGAAAAGTGACTCTTTTTTTTTTTTTTTTTTAATCCTATGGCCTAGAGCCCTCCCAGGAGAAATGCCAGATTGTACCATTAGCTTGAAAAAAAATCTGTGAGGTGGCACGTAATTATAAATATTTTCCACCTGAATACAGAAAGGAAAGAAATTAATCACCGGGCTGCTCTAACTTAGAGCTAATACTCCTGCGTATGAAGGTGTGTTTTCGCTCCCAACCCATAGCAGCCAGCGGGTTGTTTGGAAATTCTGTCTAGCTTTTGCTACAGCGGTACATTTTGTTTTCTTGTCTTTCCTTCTTTTAGGTTTTCTCCTCATATGATTCCTGGTCCTCCCGGTCCCCACACAACTGGCATCCCACATCCAGCTATCGTAACACCTCAGGTCAAACAGGAACACCCGCACGCTGACAGCGACCTAATGCACGTGTAAGTGTGCCCCCGTCTTCACCCGCGAGTGCCTTACGGTACTAAGGACTTAAACCACACAGTTTCTCCTCTTTCGCTGTTGTTGAATCTGCCCCCTGTCTGTCATTACGGAAATCAGTGTAGCCCCGCCTCAAAAGCTCTGTCCTCAAAAGCAGCTTGATTCTCACTGCTCTGGTTCTGGGTCTGAGATTGAAGAGGAGCACAGACCTCAAAAGATCAAGGGAAACTCACCGAAGGGGGGTGATCTTCAGAGCATAGCGTGAGTAACTTGAGCGGTTTAGCCATTTACTACAAGGCTTTAATCGGGTTCCGATTCTTGAGGAGCACAGGAGCGAAGTAGATTGGAGGGTTCAGTGCATTTCCTTCTGCAAAGGCAGTCGCCCTGCATCGAGGCTTCAAGAGCACAGAATTCAAGGGAAAGGGGCAAACCAAGCCCAGGATTTCCTGTCAGGCCAGGGTTATCCCAGGCTGTTACAGCAGGGCTAGATTGTCCGAAGAGATTAGTAATTGAGTTTCTTAATCTAGGGTTTGTACTGGGATGGGAGGATGGATGGGGTGGCAGGGAGCACGTGATCATCCATAAAACCCCTGCAAATACAGGCAAAACCAGTGTGCGTGTGTTTGGGGGAGAGAGTCTAAGGTTTCATTAGCTTCTCAGAGGGGCCGTTGACCCCAAAAAAGTTAAGAACCTCAGTTCTGGAGGAGGACTGACCCCCCGCACTGTATGTTCAGCTTTTCCCGAGGTGACCAAGGAGCATCTAAAAGCTTAGATGGAGCATCTTCACAAGCCCATTTCCATGTTGTGTTCACCCCTTCTATAGCTATAGGTAAACTTCCTCAAACCAAAGGATCCTTATCCACAGGGAGTTGATGGGGTGCTCTTCTAAGTTGATGGTGTTCTGGGGGCTTACAGAGAGCCCCCAGCCTGAGCTGGACTTGTGGTATAAGCAGATGCTCTGCTTCTCTCCTGCCACGTCTTCCTTATTGGGCTCACCTCTTCCCCTCCCCCGCCCTTTAGGAAGCCTCAGCATGAACAGAGGAAGGAGCAGGAGCCCAAGAGACCTCACATCAAGAAGCCTCTGAATGCCTTTATGTTATACATGAAAGAAATGAGAGCGAATGTCGTAGCTGAGTGCACCCTAAAGGAAAGTGCCGCTATCAACCAGATTCTAGGCAGAAGGGTAAGTAGTGGGATGGTATGTAGATGTTCATGGTAACCACGGAACTTCTTCTTCGGTAACATCTGCCCAAATGCACTTACATGCCAGGTAGTCATAGAATCATTGTATAGTCACCAGCCACCGCCATTTGGGGAGTAACAGAGAGAGCACGACAGCCTTTAGGAGGAGTAAATGATACAATGCCTTGTAAGCAACTGAGATGGTACCTGGCACATAGAAAACTTCCTGAAAATGATAACTGTTTGTCCTATTATCATTCTTTAAACAAATATGTCTTGAGTGTCTTTCAGGTACCAGGCACTGTGGTAGGCATTAGATAATTATTGCTGAATAATATAGATGTAGTGCTTGCCCTCGCAGAGCTTGACGTTTTGTGACAGGATACAGATGTTAGACGAATAATTACCCAGTATATATATAATTAAAATTGTGATAAATATTGTATGAAGAGCAAGGATCTGAGAAAGAACCACAGGGTGGCTGGGGAAGGGCCCACTGAGAACGTAGTTGAGGCCTGAGAGCTGCCTGGGGTTAGCCATGTGATGAACGGGGTCAGGTGAAGCTGTGTGTGTGTGTGTGTGTGTGTGTGTGTGTGTGTGTGTGTGTGTGTCCCCGAGTGCGTGTGCGTGCGTTGCGTGCGTGCACGCGTGTGTTTTGTGCGTGCGAGTGTGCGTGCGTTGCGTGCCTGTGCGTGTGTTGCGTGTGCGTGCGTTGCGTGCGTTGCATGTGTGTGCGTGCGTTGCGTGCGTGTGCGCGTGCGTTGCGTGCGTGTGCGTGCACGCTCTGAAGCAGGAAACCACTTAGCCCACCCAGGGGGCTACAGAAAGGCCTGCGGGACCAGCCACGCTTCTGGGTGAACCCTGTCAAGCACATGTGGTCGGCTGCACCTTGCAAGACATAAGCAGATCGTTCCACCTCGAAGCTTTAAATGGAAGAATTGGCACAGGCCTGAGAAGTCTTTCTAGACAATTGCTCTCTGATTCTTAACGTGTACATGGGCCAGGGTTCTCGACTGCCTCTCTTTTTGTTGTTGTTGTTGCTTCTTTCACCCACGCGAAGATATTTTTCTGAGCACCTGTCATGTACCAGGACCTGGACTTACAGCTAGGTCAGACACTCAGATTTCTTTGTCCAGCCACCAGCCCAGAGGCTAGTCAAGTCCTTCCCAGTACTTTTCTCAGGATTGAAATGGGTTTAGCTGGGTATCTGACGGGTGGTGGAGAACATTTGAATTTTTCTAATTCAAATTGCATTTTTCTGTAACTACACTGTAATTTTAGAAATGCTTCATCTTAACTTGTTGATGCTCTTCATATATGTGTGGTAGCTTATTATTTTTTTTTTAATTTATTTATTTTTGGCTGCGTTGGGTCTTCATTGCTGCCTGCGGGCTTTCTCCAGTTGCGGCGAGCGGGGGCTACTCTTCGTTGCGGTGCGTGGGGCTTCTCTTGTTGCGGAGCACGGGCTCTAGGCGCGTGGGCTTCAGTAGTTGTGGCACGAGGGCTCAGTAGTTGTGGCTCATGGGCTCTAGAGCGCAGGCTCTTTAGCTGTGGTGCACGGGCTTAGTTGCTCTGGGGCACGTAGGATCTTCCCGGATCTGGGATCGAACCCGTGTCTCCTGTGTTGCCAGGTGGATTCTTGACCACTGGAGCCACCAGGAAAGTCCCGGTAGCTTCTTAAAATATGACCCTGTGTATTTGTTTTTGCAACCTCTCAAGAAATTCATGATTTGCAAATGAACATTCAGGAGAAGGAGGGTCTTGACAACCTTTGTGAGACCTAGAGATCATGTTTTAGCTGCTGTTGATAATTTTTGTCATGTTTGTTACAAACCTAATACATTTCAGCATTCATAACAGAAAACATTTAGGAGATTACCAGTCCACGTGAGGAAGCAGATGGAGGAAAGCAGGCGTTCTTGTATTATCGATTCCTGTTGGAGAGCATAAAAATGCAGCAATTTCCAATCTGCAAGACACCAGGGTTTCAGGGGTGGGATGCAGTGGTAGATTATAGCTCTTTTGGTGCCCTGTGTACAGTACTCTATCTCCCTATGGATTCCTAAACACTTAATAACAATAATTACAGTGATTTCCAAAGCCAGATCATAGCAGATGCGTGATTCCCATCATTTTTTGAAGAATTCCTCCTTGAAAGCTTAAAGGCTGATGACCATTTTCCCTGACCCTTTAAAAGAAGAAATCAGAGGAAAAGACGGGTTCTTATTTCCGCTTGTGTAAAACTCTTAGATTTTTTGTTTGTTTGTTTGTTTGTTTCTTTTTTGAGTTAAAGGCCCATGGTCCTCCAGTGGGAATTATTTTCCGCTCTATAGAGTTAAGAATATATGAATGTATGCTTCCTATTTTTAATGCACATTTCCAACAGTTGCTACTTTCTCAGCTCCCTTAACAATCCCCAGATCAGAGCATGTGTCCTAAAGGATGGTTCTCATTTAAGGTCTCTCTCTGTTTTTAATTTGGACACCTGTTTCTATTTATAGGTCTCTGAGATCTTTGATTAAGATCAGGTTTTCTATCCTTTCATAACTCCGCCTCTGGCAGGGTAGTCCTTGCGAGTTCTTTAAAGTTCCCAGCTTTAAAATCATGAAGTTTTACACTGGGATAATTAGAATTCTTAATAGTGGGCCTGAAATTCATCCTAGAACATTTGATCTTCTGATTTTTATTCACTTCTACTGTATTTCTAGCATAGAAATGTTCATTCATATGAATGCATCAAAGTTTTCTACTTCGTTTTCTAAATAATAATAACACAAATATTACTTGAAAATAAGCCTTTCGTTTTCAGACCTTCCAGGCTACTAAAGGAAGTCCAATTATTGCATATTTATTGTCAGAATGTCTCTTCAAATTAAATGGGTATTTTCCCAAAAACTTGGTGAATCTTTCAGTAAGCAGAAGAGATGGAAAAGCATTTTTAGTCAGTTGTGTTTCAGAAATTCTTGTAAAGAAAGATCATCTTTCTAATCTGCATCAGACTTTATTCTTGTTTCCAGTGCAAAACTTTAATACATAGTTTCACCTACTGTTTTACTCTGGTAAATGATGTTTCATTTGTGAGTAAAGTTTGTGAATTCGAAATAATATCAAGGAACTAAAAGGAATCTAAGGTAAGCAAGTAAACAGTTTAGTTTGTGGTCTGCTTTCTTTTCTCCTTGAACTTCGCTGTTTTGTTAGCTGGGGTCTTGTCAACCTAAGTTTCCTGCTGTAACTGAAAAATTCGTGCTTGTTTATTAACTGCTTGTTTTGGGTAGAAGACCCAACCTCCATACGTATTTGGGAGATGAGTTCTATTTACAATGCCAGATTTTCTCAGCAAGTTATAAAACTGCCATAAATTACATAAAATTATACTTTAAATTATTTAAGCTTTTTTATACTATAAAATATATTTACAAATAACTATATTTATAAAAAAGATATCTTTATACTGACATACTGCAGTAGGAGGAGAGAGATTATTTATCAAATGAATAAACAGATGTACAAAGTAAGACTTCTATCCTTACCTTTTTTCCTCTTAGCCTCTCGTTTTTTTTGTTCCTTTTTGATAACACTTTGCCTCTTGCTGATCATGTTAGCCCCAGAACTGTCTAAACACTGATGATCAGTCTTTTTTAAAAAAAACAGTGTAGGCCGACCTTTTCCGCTGTGCCCAGTTCGGCTTTTTCTCCCTGTGACGGTCTCGAGGTCAGTACCTCAGGTTTAGACAAGCTGTCAGTTGACAGAGGCAGTGTGACTTTTCCCGCCTAAACTTCCACTGCTCCCCAGACGTGCCTCCTTAGGCTCCACTTGACTAATTGTGATTACTCTGTTAGTACAAAGAATTGTGTCTCAGGTAACTTTTCCCAGGTGTTTGGGGGGTTTTTTGTTTGTTTTTTTCCTGCCACCTCCCAATCTCCTCTCCCCCCTCCGCCCTTTTTTTTTTTTAAAAAGGAAAGCATATTTCCTGATTTGCCTTTAGACTCAGGCCAAGTCCCGCTGTGTCATGCATCTTAACTTTGCAAGTGTAAAGCAATTAAAAATGAAATCATGTCTATCCAGCACAGAGGCCCTGGCCTTCAAGGGGCTTTTCAAAGGAAATGGAATTGGTTGCCTTGCCTGTAAGCCCCACAGCCTCTGGACGGGAGGATGGATGGGAGGATGGAAGGAGGCCGAAGGTGCTTTAGTGCTCTCCTTGAGATCAGGTTCTCGTTCTTCTAACAGGCAAGAGCAGCAGGTGTTCGTTTTCTTGAGGAGAGCATCCCTGCCATGCTCTGGGGGCTGCATCCTAACCACTGGATCGCTGTCCTGGAGGGCAGCCTTTTCTCGCTCACCAGCCTCTCTCCCTCACTCCTTCCTTTCCCCCAATCCAGTCACACCTTTCTTTTCTTTTTGTCTTATCATTTAAAAAAACAAGAACAGGGTAATTAAAATCAATATGCAGGGTAGAGGTGAATGAGAAAGAATCGCCCAGCCCTTAAGGGGAAGTTAGCGAAATGGGAAGCGACACACGCTAGAGCTGGGAGCCCTGGACTGGGAGCCGGGCTCACTCAGAGCGTGTGTGCGTGCATGTAGCTGCGCAGTGGTGTGGCGTTGGGTCCACCGCCTCTGTGCTGTCACCTCCAGCCAGTGGGTTCCCCAAAGTGCAGCCAGTTCTCCTGGGATGTTCTGGCAACAGATCCTGGCATTTGGGAAGTAGGGGGACGAACTTGGAAACTGCTCCCTGGGGGCCTGGGGTAAGTTGTGTGCAACCACACACAAAGTGCCGGTACAGGCTGCTAAAAATCCCAAACAGCACCTTGCCTGCATAAACTCTTCTGCTCTGTATGATAAATAAATATATGTTACCTAAAGGGAAGTGGAAAATTTGCAGGGTGTCAGCTGCTATGTTCCCCAGATTAGATCCTACGGTCTCAAAGTCTAGATGGCAAAATAAACTTAGGTCATGCTCCTTGTTTTCCATCCGAAGGAAGCTAAAAAACACAGCCATAAAGTGTGCATGTTTGATTACACAGCGTTATCTGTATTCTCCCTATGGACAATTAGTGTTTAAATAAGTGTGAGGGGAGGGTGAAGAGACTGAGACAGACTGACTTTTGATGTCTTGCTTTATAGACAGGATCATATGATGAAGGTTTCAGATTCCTCACATGACAGAGTAGGAGAGTGCATGGGAGGTGAGGATATATCTGTGGAAATTACTTCATTTTGCATAAATAAATGGTGCTTGGGGCTCAGATGTCAGAATGTGCTGCAAACTATGAAAAAGGGCTAAGGTGGGTGTTGAGGTTCACCAGTGAATGTTCTCTTTAATTTGTATTGGAGAAGAGGAAGGCTGGGTGACAGGCCATTGCACTTTGGATACTTTGACAGGTTTCATGTAACATGAGAACAGAATAGAGAAATCAAAATTTGAGTCTCACTCCAGCCACCGAACTCTAGATGGATTTCTGCGACACGTGGTCTTCTGCCATTTAAAAATAAATCGAAGTTTAAATGCTTAATGTTTTCATTCTTCAGTGTCTGAAATATATAATACTGTTGCTGTTTTGCTTTCACTTGATTTTTTCCCCCTTCCCCTTTCTTTTTCAGTGGCATGCCCTCTCTCGTGAAGAGCAGGCTAAATATTATGAATTAGCGCGGAAGGAAAGACAGCTACATATGCAGCTCTATCCAGGCTGGTCTGCAAGAGACAATTATGTAAGCACTTTATGCACACCAACGGCTCTCTCCTCTCACCCGTTCTCCCTCTGTGTTGCTCTCGTGAAGGAAATGTGTTGTAGAGTGTATCTAATGCTGGCACCGTTCTCTATTTTTGAAAGTTAATGAACTTTATAATAAAGATTTCATGGATATATTCCGTTCTGAAAGCTTTGTGCTGTCAGGTTTTTTTTGGCTATATGCTAATGAAATTTTTAAGTAAAATTTTTTAAATCGAAGAAAACCTTATCATTAAAATGTTGATGAAAAAGTTTTGTTTTGTTTTGGTTTGGTGTTTTTCTTTTCTTTTTTTTTTTTTTTTTTTTTGGTGGTACGCGGGCCTCTCACTGTTGTGGCCTCTCCCGTTGCGGAGCACAGGCTCCGGACGCGCGGGCCCAGCCGCTCCGCGGCATGTGGGATCTTCCCGGACCGGGACACGAACCCACGTCCCCTGCATCGGCAGGCAGACTCCCAACCACTGCGCCACCAGGGAAGCCTGAAAAAGATTTTTTTTAAAGCATATAATCTCATCATGTGAAGGCGGCATTAGTAATAACTAGTTACACTACCTTCCAGTATTTTTTCTGTGCATATCTTTTTTTTCTTAACATCTTTATTGGAGTATAATTGCTTTTTACAGCGGGGTGTTGTGCATAGCTTTTTATCTTTTACTTGGATATGTGTGGGTGGGTGGCTGTGTATTACATACGCTCTTGCATCATGCTGCTTGCTCTTCTCTATAATAAGCATTTTTCTGTTACAGCCTAGTGTTTCTGTATATCACTTTTCACACGTATACAGTATTTCACTGAGTGAATGTCACAATTTACTTAACCATTTTTTCCCTGCTTTTTAGACATTGGCTATTTTTTTTGTTAATAATTGGAAATTATCCTGCAGTGGATTGTTTTAGGACTTATTTCTACAGGATAGACTCACAGTAGTGAAATTGTAGTGAAACACTAGTGAAATTGCTGAGTACAGATTATAAATATTTTAAAGCCTCTTGATATATATTGTCAGATTTCTTTCCAAAATGGATTGTGTTATTTTACACTTCTTACAAACAATATATTCCAGTGACTGTTTTGCACAGACTAATTAAAACTGGGTAAAAAAAACATTTTTTTGTTTCATATTAACGTACCCTGATGCCTATTATATATTTTATTCAGATGGAGTAGGTATTATCATATTTTTAAGCTGTACTAATTTCATTGGGAAAAAAATACCTCATTTATATTGCCAATTATTTTATTACTTCAGAGTTTGAATACCTTACTCATGTAGTCTTGATACAGCAAAAACTACTGAGAAAGACTATTATAAGTGATATTAGTTGTATCATATTTTATAGAGGGGAATGATTTTGATTACTTAAGCTCTTAATTTAAAAATTTGAAGATCATTTTCATGTTTCTTGTGAGACGAGCATTCAGAGTGCCCGCTAGGACAGACTTCACATTAAATGGAATTGTCCTTTTTTAAAAGGCCGAGGCACTATGGAGAACAGTATGGAGGCTCTTAAAAAACTAGAAACAGAACTACCATACGACCCAGCAATCCCACTACTGGGCATATACCCTGAGAAAACCGTAATTCAAAAAGAGTCATGTACCACAATGTTCACTGCAGCTCTATTTACAATAGCCAGGTCATGGGAGCAACCTAAGTGTCCATCGACAGATGAATGGATAAAGAAGATGTGGTACATATATACAATGGAATATCACTCAGCCATAAAAAGAAATGAAATTGAGTTATTTGTAGTGAGGTGGATGGACCTAGAGACTGTCATACAGAGTGAAGTAAGTCAGAAAGAGAAAAACAAATACCGTATGCTAACACATATATATGGAACCTAAAAAAAAAAAAATGGTTCTGAAGAACCTAGGGGCAGGACAGGAATAAAGATACAAATGCAGAGAATGGACTTGAGGACACGGGGAGGGGGAAGGGTAAGCTGGGACGAAGTGAGAGAGTGGCAGGGACATATATACACTACCAAATGTAAAAAAGATAGCTAGTGGGAAGCAGCCGCATAGCACGGGGAGATCAGCTCGGTGCTTTGTGACCACCTAGAGGGTGGGATAGGGAGGGCAGGAGGGAGACGCAAGAGGGAGGGGATATGGGGATATATGTATGCATATAGCTGATTCACTTTGTTATACAGCAGAAACACACCATTGTAAAGCAATTATGCTCCAATAAAGATGTTAAATAAATAAATAATTTAAAAAAAAAATAGGGCGAGGGTGAAGCCATGAATCAATATGTAAATCAGTGTGTGGCCAAGTCACTGCTGGTCAGGATTTGGAGCTTAAACATTGGATACAACTATGACATAGGAAGTAAGAGTCCTCCTTTCGTGACTTGGGAGCAGCAGCTTCATCATCTCTCCTGAGCTGTTGTCCTGATTGTTTTAAATAACTACTTGGGTTGGCCAAAGAGTTCGTTTGGGTTGTACTGTAAGATACTATGGAAAAACGCTAATGAACTTTTTGGCCAGCGCAATACTATATGCCAATGGTCAAGAGCTGTCTTAAATGCTTTTTGTGTTATTTTCTAGTCCTTCTGATAATCCTGTGGCATCAACAGTATTATTGTATTTTACAGATGAGGGAAATTAAATTGTCAGGAGGTTCGGTAATTGGTCCAGGGCCATGTAGTGGCTAAGCTACAGGTGACACCCAGGTCCCCCAGACTTCACAGTCTATGCCATTTCCCTCCTCCTCCAGGTGGACCAGCTCAGTCTTCCAGGACCTTTTTAGGAAGCCTGCTTTAGTTGAAGACTTTTCTCCCTGAACTGGGCTTCCATCCTCTGGGCCATAATTAGTATTTTCTGGATAGAGCCTTCGTGAGGCCCTTTAAGTGGGAAGATCAGTCCCCCACCTAAAGGGTTTCAGAAGTGTCCTCCTCTAAAGGGTTTCAGAAGTGTCCTCCTCTAACCCCGTCCTGGATCTCTTTTGGATGTGGTTGGCCTTATAGGGGGAGTGGCCTTCCTTCTTTGACCTCTGGGAGAGCTTTGCTGTGCTGTGACTTTGCACAGATTTAGTGTTGCGTGTTGACTGTCTTTTTTTTTTGAAGTGTAGTTGACTTACAGTGTTAATTTCTGCTGTACAGCAAAGTGACTCAGTTATACATATATATATTCTTTTTCATATTCTTTTCCATTACGGTTTATCACAGGATACTGAATATAGCTCCCTGTGCTCTACAGTAGGACCTTGTTGTTTATCCATCCTGTATATAATAGTTTGTATCTGCTCATCCCAAATTCCCAGTCCATCCCTTCCCCATCGCCCCCTCCCCCTTGGCAACCAAAAGTCTGTTGTCTATGTCTGTGAGTCTGTTTCCATTTCATAGATATATGTTCATTTGTGTTGTATTTTATTCAAACTCATCCTTTTTATTTATTTATTTATTTTTGTTTTATACTGGAGTATAGTTGATTTACAATGTTGTGTTAGTTTCAGGTGTACAGCAAAGTGATTCACTTATACATATACATATAGCTATTCTTTTTCAGATTCTTTTCCCATATGTTATTGCACAGTATTGAGTAGAGTTCCTTGTGCTATACAGTAGGTCCTTGTTGCTTATCTATTTTATATATAGTAGTGTGTATATTGTTAATCCCAACCTCCTAATTTATGTGTGTTGTATTTTAGATTCCACATATATGAATGATATGTCTTTGAGTGACGTTTCTGTTTCTGATCCTTAAGGAGTGAGTTTCCACTTTTAAAAAGAGATAAAAGAAACACACGTTCTCTCCCTCTTGCTCTCTCCCCTCTTCTCCATGTGGAGAGACGGGAAGAGAGTAGTTTTAAAGAAAACCGGCGTTATGTGAATTTACCTTTAAAGATTTTCCTCTGCGCAACTTTTAAAGGAAACTGTTTGCGTAACTTGATTTTAGGATCTCTTTGAATGAAGGGGAAGCCCAGCTTTGTTACTTAAAATGTCTATAACAATCAAAATAAGCCTGTTAATTACTAAGGCAAACAAGTCAGTCAAGTGGTATCACTTTGGCTAAAGATATTACAGTATTCTTAAAATAAGAGTACAGGAATACAGTCTAAATAAGATGCATGCCCTATGTCTTAGCATTTCATTGTCAGAATGATATCCTGATGCTCACTGCAGTCATATTAAATATATGTCTCAATGATTTAATATCAAGTTGTCCTATTCTATGGCATTGTAGATTTTATAACTTCAGTTTGTTTTTATAACTTTCATTTTTTATAACTGGTTTTCATAAATCAGTGCACATATTTTCTTAGGTGTATTATTTATATTGTTAGAGCTTTTAAATGTGGTGCTTAAAACCCAAGTACTATATATGATTTTAATGAAAATTTTACATATGTTTACTACACATGAATTTTTGTTTTTGTGTTAAGCTGACATGAATACATCCAAACTCCTTAGGTCCTTTTGTCTACCATAAATGTAAGTTCTCTTGAAGCACTGATGTATACCTAGAATATAGCACAGGTTATTTCACAAAGCAACATCAGTCCGACATGTCAGGGCACGGTCGCATGTTCTAGGCACGTGCTAGGCATGTGCTGGGTGGCAGAGATGTGCTGAGACTCGGGCGGTGCTCGTGTGAGCCGATAGCCGTGTGGCTGAGGGGTCCAGGGCCACAGCCCATTATGACACCTGTGCGGAGTTACGTTATGGTGGTGAGCTCTGCCTGGGGCTGACGTCGGGGGGGGGGGGGGGGGGGGGGGGGGGTGGGGCCTGAGAAGCATGCTCTTCCTTCGTCCACTCTCCTCCTCCTGGAGCACCTTAATCTTCTGAAAGAAGACTCCATTCTTTTTGATATGCCGTTTCCCCAGGTCACTAATATCTGTTGTTTGCCTTAGTGTTTGTGAGGATAGTTTCAGTCCACCTTCCAAAGATATAAAGCCTCAGTGGTCGGGTCACGTGACATGAAGAAGAACTATCGAGGTGCATAAAAATAGATACCTTTATATATTCACACAGTATACTCAGTATAATCTTATGGTTTTATTTTTTGTGAATTTGATTATTACAGCAGGCATACTGGATGTGATATGTGTCCTATGACACGTATTTGAAAAGACCATCCTAATCCAGGTTGGTCATTTACTATTCACATAAATCAAATATATGCTGTGTCTATGCCCTATTCCAATTATTTTTTGAGGGGAAAGTAATTATGAAGAAAAATAGAAAATTAAACTACTACCAGAGGGACCTAAAATTATAAATTTGTGATTAAGATGATTTTGAAATGTATTTTAAATTGCAGGCATATTCACGTTATTGTGTTTGTTTTAGGAAGCAGGGTCCTTAACTGCCGTAAATAAGTCTTTAAAATTACCTTCTAAGTTTTCTCAGGTTCTAGCTTACCCTTCTACTACTGTCTTCAGTTACATCTTGTCTGTGCCATGGGAGCTGAGGGGCCTCAGTTAACATTGTGGATTTTTAATTAGATGGTGGAATTCACAGTGAGGAAGATTTGTCATCGACACTACCAGAAGTGGGTCCTAAGTGTGGGGCTTAGCAGTAAAAGCGGGGCCTCCTTATTAAGCGGGCTTTCCTTGAAGGTGGGCGGGGGACGGAGGGGTCTGTGGCCACAGCCCTAGGACATCATCATTCTCTGTGTGTGTGTGTGTGTATGACCACTGCTTACATCGGTACAGTACTGATGACATTAAATGCGAAGCTATAGAGACAGAGGTCACAGATAAGAATTTCTTTCTCTTGCCCTGTTTCTAGGTACAGAAGGTAAAGAGAGAGAGATAATGAGGCATCTTGATCTCTTGGTTGACGGCCTGCTGGTCCTTTTGTATCACGTTCATCCGTGTGTTCACAGTACAGTCTATAACATGAACATGTACCTGTCTTCTTCCAGGGTAAGAAAAAGAAGAGGAAGAGAGAGAAGCTCCAGGAATCTACATCAGGTAGGCGCCATGTGACTTTCCAGCCAATTCTCGTGCTTCTGACAAGCACCTTTTAAAGTAGTCTGCATCTTTCTACACGCTGCTTTATTCTTCAGCTATAACATATGATTCTTGAACTCTGCTTTTCTTCCTGAGATTCTTTCAAAATGTTTGAAAGACCTTTCTTTTAAATGTGACTATGTGAAGGTACACCTAAAAAGCTCTTGCAAACCCTGTCACCTGGATTCCTCGTTGCTAACTGTGGTTGTTTTTAAGGTTTTGTTTTTGCTTTTGTTGTCTGTGTTCTCTTTTCTTTAACACTTCTGTTCTTCTATTTGCAAAACTCCTTACAATACAGTTTTTTATGATGACTCTCTGATATGCTACCTTATATCCCCTTGAGAATCCTTTCTATGGTTTGGGGTTATTTAAAAATATAAAACATGATGATAGGGTTTATCTTTCGTGTACATTAATTCAAGGCATCAATCAGTGAGGTCCAGTTTATTTCCCCTTTTCTTTCATAAAAGATAAGGCCTCTACTTGTACGGCACAAATAAAACTGGCTGGTATAAGAACCATAAAAAAATAAAGCAAACAGGTCCACATTATATTGTAGCTACTACGTATTTGGAATGTACAAAAACCTCTTCAATAAAAATTTGTTAAAGACACAATTTTCTGCAGGTACAGGTCCAAGAATGACAGCTGCCTACATCTGAAACATGGTAAGAACGACTCTCTGGTCCTACTGCTGACGTTAGTTATAAACAGAGGCACTTGCTTGTGAATCTTCTTGCTTATACTGATGCCATTCAGCATTGCTCCTTTAAAGAGGAAAGGCCACCAAAATCAAATTAGTGCTTTAAAACATCTGATGGTTTTTATACCGGCTCTGGATTTGCAATATAGTATGTGTCTCTCTCTTCTCTTCTTCCCCTTTTTGCCCCTTTAATCTTTCTCTGTTCCCTTTCCCCTAACTCTTGTCAGCCATTCCTTACTGACCAGTGGCAAATCTGCCTGCTTCAGAAACAAACAAGTAACAAAACCCGGCAAAATGCCATCTTACTCTGCAAACCCAAGGGCTGCATTGGAGGAGCTCAGGCTGGCCCAGGACCTGGAAGGTTTTGTGGTATAGAGACTTTTTCTCAGTTGAGATGATATATAGAGGCTTAAAAAGTAATGTATTGTTTCTAGTGAGAAAGAGAGGGATGCTTCGTTTTATCTGTTATTTAAAAATGTGGCATGGGGGCTTATTAACTGTACTCTATCAAGTTCTTCATTGGTAACCATTGCTAGATCTCACTCTCATCTTTGTAGGTGATGTTTATTTCATTTCTTTTTATTGCAGTTATTTGACTTTTGACCACTTGACCACCATCCCTGGCGGGAACCTGGCTTTGTAAATTGTCTCCGTCTTTGCTAGGCTTTGAGTTCACAGTGTGTCTACACTGCGACAGTTCTTCTCAGAGGCGCTCCCTTTGATTCTCTTCTCTCTAGGAACCCACATCCCAGTCCCGTCAGCTCTATCTTTTGGGTCTGTCTCGAGTCTTTCCTCTCACACTCAGCAGTTTCACAGCCCCAGATCAGGTGCTCAGACTTCCCATCTGGATTATTGTAATAAGCCTTTGGATAATTTTCCTGCTTCCAGACTTCCTTTCTGCCAGTTCAGCCTCTGTGTTGCTCCCAGAGGGATCTGCTGAAACACAAACGGATTGTGTCACTTCCCGACTTAAAAACGGTCAGTGCTCCCCACTGTCTGAGGGACGCAGTGCAGACCACGTCAGTGTGGATCTGCGTCTCCCCTGTCCTGGGGGGTTCCACTCTCTGACCCGCCTCACCTCCAACCATGCGTCTTGGGCTCAGTCCAAACAAAATTATTTGCCGTCCCTGAGACCGATGGAGGCCGCTGCACGTGCTGTCCCTGTGCTTGGAAAGCCCGTTTCCTCTGCCTGAGGGCGGTGTTTCTTAGGAGAAGAGCATTAGCCTGCGGGTCACTTCATTCTTGACTAGAACCAGATGACCGCTTAATCTTTCAGAACTCAAATTTCAGCAGACTTTCCCAGGGGAATCTGCAGAGATTTGGGTACCAAATAGGTATGAATTTCACATCAGCTGTTTGCCCCGGCAATCTGCGTGAGCTTTTTAATCTTCATTTTCCTCCGCTGTAAAATGGGAACAGTAACCGCCACCTGCTAGGGTTCTTTGTTTATCGTATGTGGCCTCCCTCCCTCCCTAGATGCCACCCCAAAGACCTAATGCAGCTGCCTTCTCCTCTGTGAAACTTTCCTCATCTTTATTCACGTTCCCCAGGTTCTTCAAAATGTCATCATTGTTGTTTTACGATATCAAAAGTCTTCTAAACTAGCGCTGAGTGGTAGGCTTTTCTCCAGCTGAAAAGAAGATCAGCCCTTCATACAGGTGACCAAACAAGGTATCAGAAAAATAATATCACAGATGATGTTCATATTTAATTCAACTTAATGGCTATTAATTGAGGACCTCTTCTGAGCTGGCCCCCCAGCTTGGTTATAGGAGCACAGGCTCTGCCCCCAGGTGCTCATGGCATCATAGTTCAGAAGTAATTTTAGTAGCAAGCACAGGCTCTTGTACTTCTTCTTTGCGTTTTTTTAGAAGAATATTGTCCTTTTAATGACTAAACACTTAGGTATGGACAGCAGCGCTTTTTATGCTCTGCCTCGAAACAGAAAACCCTGATAAGCATACCGTGCTAAGGACCAACATTCGCTGATTTTACTGTGTCCTCTGTTTGCACCAAAATCTTTAATGCTATCTCTATTAAAACTCATGCAGAAATGTATTTCTCTGCTTCATACTTTGATACTTGGTTTTCAATCCTTAATGATTAACCTTATGTAGTATTTTAAATTAGACGATTAGGCTGAATGCATTTTTGTCCTAGAATGTATGCCAAATATCTCTTTTTAAAATAACGTTACAGTGATCATGGTGTTTTCTTGTCACTTAACTTGTTTTTCTAAAGCTGTGTCCCCTCTGCCCTGTCCCAGAAAAACACAACAAAGTCTCCCCCCACTCCCCCCCAAGAAAAATATTTTCACCAGCGACCAGTGAGGCTCCCGTCGGCTGGGCTGCACTTAATCAGAGTCTCCAGTGTTCCTCTCCCCTCTCGTTCGTTGCTGGATCAGTCACGCAGCCTTTGAAGTTCCGTCCTCCCCACTATCGTGTTGTAGAGAGCGGCACTGGCAGTCATCTGATAAGAATTACTAAGCAGAGGGAAGGTCAGATTTGCATTCATAAAGATTTCCGCAAATTAGGAATGATACTATCCCTACCGTTTCCCCATCCCCTTCTTTGTTTTAGGAATTCAGAAACTTCTATCTATCTGTGTAGTAGTTGACGTGTTTAGTCATTATTCTGCATTTATTGAGCACTTTATAAATGCCAGTTAGCTCCATAATACTGGAAATACAGTATCGAACAAGGCTCAGAAGGTCCCCGCTCTGTACTGCTTACATCTCGGGGAGAGCAGTTGATTTAAAGCAAACAGGAAAGTGTAAGTGCTATAATAAAAATAAGACAGGGAGTGACTTGAGGGTCGGCTTTGGCTTGAAGATTATGAAAGGCCCTTCTGAGGAGGTGACACTCAGTAATAACCAGCTGTTTTCCCTGGAGGGTATTGTGTGTATTGTTCTAAATGAAAGACCAGGCCAACAGAGCACCCTGTTGTAGAAAGAGCTTAGACTAGACTAGGAGTGAGGCCCCACGGGCTCTCACATTAGCCCTCCCTGTGCTGTATGGCCCGGGGCAGTAGGTTTAAGCTGGAGACTGGTTCCTCCGCGCAAGTGAAAGGGGCGCTTTGCTGGCCTCTACGCTCCCGGCCGCATCAGGTCCCAACGTCCTGGTCTGCTTTGTGCTTCCGCGGGCTGCACTGCCTCCCAGTGTTAGTAAAGGGACTCGGGTCTCTTTTTTGTTTACTAATTTGTCGTCCTCATTCTAGGTCTGAGTGGCTCTGTATAACTATAAGGCACCTGTATGATCTTGAAAACGACTTGTCCACGATGTGCTTGCTCTTCCATTCCTGTATAGATCACTTCCTGCCTACCCTCCCCCTCCACAGGATGAGTGCCCAGAAGCACTGCCTCTAGTTTGGGGCTTTGCTTCTCCACTGATGCCGTCACGTGGCTCCTTGTTTGCCAGACTTCAGTCCCGCTAGTGCTGGCTCCACCTTATAAAAAAGCCGAAGACAGATGAAATGTTTGATAAGACTTGCTCCTGCACATAGTGTCCGTGAAAGCTCACAGGACTTGCTTTCAGTTCTGAAGGGAAGTTCTAAAGTCACGGCCCTCCCTGCAGGAAGGTAAAGCTAACGGAGCGCAGTGCCCAGACAGGGAGGATGCCGTTGACTCCAACGTGAAGAGACTTTTGAGAGGGTTTCTTTCTGCACAGCGAAACTTAACATAATCCTGCTGCCCTTGAAGGAGATTCCTATTAGATCACTGAGCTTAGACAATCCATGGTGTAGCTCAAATGCTAGGGAACTCTCAGTACTCTGAACTAGAGTGGGACAGCGGACTATAAGGAAAAGACCCCACCCATCAGGAAAGGACTCCTCTGTGAACACAAAAGCCCTCTGAAAACTTGTTTCTGTTCCTTGAAAGACATGAGTTTCACTTAATACTTTCTCATTTCCCAATGGTGGGAAATGCCATTGCAATTGCTTCATATACCCAGCTGTGTCCCCATCTCCCTGTGAGTTTCTACTTTTGTGTATTCTATAAGAATATTCACTCTGGTGAAATCAAGTTGAAACAAAGAAATTAGCATTAACCCAGTGTCAACACCTTGCAGCAGACTTTAGGATTATTGGAAACGGGATCCTTAAAAGACATCCCTCCAAGTTGGAGGTGATCCCCAAGCTGTGGGACCATTCAGGAAATCCAGATTCATCCTTAGCTTTTTTAACTAACTTGCCACTTGTGGGAGCTGGGAGCCCAGGGCCTCAGGCAATGAGACTTACACACGTTCTCCTGTGGTGGCCAATATCATAAAATGCCAATTGTTTGTTTATTCATTCTGCCAACATCCAGTGAGGCCTGCTCCTGCAAGCAAGAACTGCTCTAGGCAGTGGGGTTACTTGCCAAACGGACCCTGTCCGTTACCAGAGGCGCTCCCAGTTTAAGAGGATGCAGACGTACAAATGGATAATTATAAAATAATATGTTTTATGCTACCAAGGAAGTGCATACAGTGCAGTGTGTAAAAACAAAGATGACGGAAATCAGAGCGAGCTCAAGGAAGGCCTCCTGCAGTAGGTAACACTTGCGTGCCCAGTCATGGGGGAATTCTTGAGTTTGATAGAACAATGATCGAGTTGCTTTCTTTGAGTTTCCAGTATTTTGGTGCACGTTTCATTTGGAATATGTAACGTCAAGAGTTTGTCAGAAGTCAGAGATTATCAAATACTGAACTTCCCTTTCTTCCTGACTTAATCAAGATTCATAAAGAATTAAAGAAGCAGAGAATTAGAATTTTTGAAAAGCTGGAGAGAATTATCATTCTGAGTTTACTAACTTAAAAACTTAACTTTACAAGTTGGTTTACTAATATTTACTTTAGCAAAACATAAAAAGTCCACTATCTTAAAGTTATATAGATTGAAAAGATACTCTTATGATATTTCAGTGTATTTCATTTGATTATATAACGTCAAAGGTCTAGTTTAAAAGTAGAAACAAGCTATCTTTTTTTAAAAAGCAAAAAATCTCTGGTTAAACGCACCCAGAGATACATACAGGCACTCACATACAGACATACTTCTTCTGGACACTATGATTTTAGCCTTGGCATAATCTTCAGCTTGTACACTTGCTGAACTGAGAAATTAGTATATATTTTTTACTAAATAAAAACATTCGCCTTTATTTCCCTGGTGCCAAGAGGTGTGTGGGAGAAGTAATTTCTAGTATAATATAGAATGCAATAGTTAATTGTGCAGTGCTTGGATTTACATCTTTAAAAAAATTGTCTCTAGGGCTTCCCTGGTGGCGCAGTGGTTGAGAGTCCGCCTGCCGATGCAGGGGACGCGGGTTCGTGCCCCGGTCCGGGAAGATCCCACATGCCGTGGAGCGGCTGGGCCCGTGAGCCATGGCCGCTGAGCCTGTGCGTCCGGAGCCTGTGCTCTGCAGCGGGAGAGGCCACAAAAGAGAGAGGCACGCGCACCCAAAAAAAAAAAAAAAAAAAAAAAAAAGAAATTGTCTCTAGCTTTCCATTATAGACTGGAGTCATGTGCAGGACTAGCGAGAGGACTGTGACCCTGAAGGTCTTCTAGGAGCGTTGTCTGAAGCTCGGGACTTAGCCCTGTCCTCTTAAGAGTCAGGGAGAGGTCTAAATATTTTCAGCAGTCTCCTTGAGAAAAACATTTATTTCGTATAGTTTTTGAAGCTCACCCCGGGGAACTTGATGCTTTTGCCTAATCTTTGCTCTGAACTCTGTTCCCTAAGTATGTCTGTAGTCACCCCCATTAAGTAAGTATCAGTGAGCCTCTGGGTATTTGTTCCTAGGTTGGCATGTCTAGTTAGAAAGCAAAGCCAAGTGCTTACAAAGTAGTAAAGTTGGAAGCAGCTAGAGAAATGGTAAGGCTTGTCCAAAGTCTCAGAGAAAAATTAAGGCTTTCATAATGAGAAAGTGAAAAAACTACACCCTGTTTTCCATCCTTCATCTTTTTGTCACACGATGAGGTGCTAAGTGTGTCAGGCACTTAGCCTAGAATTGCCACTAACCACACAGGAGACGGCAGAGTTAGGAGCTCTTGGGAAGGGAGCCTCACATCCGGAGGTGGGAGACCAGCACGGCCACCTGCACCCTGCTCAGTGCTGTCCCCAAGCTCCTCCTGAGCATCCTCTGAGTGGTGGCCCAGCCAGTGCAGGACCTCGCCCGCCAGTTGGCCAAGCGTCTGGATCCTGATGGAAACGACCGCAGGCGCGTCATTTGTCTCGTCCGGATCGCAGGTGTGCTGTGCCTAGGACATGGAGGTCTGTCCCTGCCTGGGGTGGTAGCCTACACGTGTTCCCCTCCTCTAACGTCTGGCTGCAAACCCCTGCGAGACGTGTCGTGAGTTAGCGGAAAGCTTGTAGAGAATTCACATGGCAATGACACTGGACTGCAGTGTTCTTACTAGGGACTCCCTAGTAAGACCGTTCAGCAGGAAAATTCAGACACTGATAGCAAGGGCAGCCTTGGGCACGCTGTCTGAAACGGAGATGGCTGCCTCACGGCACCGTGTGGCTAGACGAAGCTGTGCGTGGACCGCAGGTTGTCAGGTTCTAATCATTCTCCAGAATGCCTTACGCGCGCTCATGAGACGCGAGCCTTTTCATCACAAGGAGCAGAAACAGCCCCCGCGCGGCTGAGCGCCTCTATTTAAGGGTGCAGGAGCATCGTGCGGAGGCCGAGGAGAGCACTAGACGGTGGGCTTGGAAAACTGTCCAGACGCTTCTGCTGTCTCTCATATCTGCCCCTCCCCCAAATCCCATCCTCCCCTTCTGCAGATTGGCCTCCTCAGCTCTTTGATCCACGTGTCCAGAACCCCTCGAGCTCACATATTCTTACAGTACCAGTCTCCAAAGAGAAAACTCTTTCAAATTCCAGAGAAGGGGGACTTCCCTGGCAGTCCAGTGGTTAGGACTCTGCGCTTCCACTGCAGGGGACACAGGCTTTTGATCCCTGGTCGGGGAACTAAGATCCCACGTGCCACGTGGCCAAAAAGTAAACCAATACAAAGTCAAATTCCAGAGAAGGGACTCTGGCTAGCCCAGCTTGGGTCAGACTTCTACCCCCATCTGCAGTCAACTGTGGCCACAGCAGATGGTCACACAGTACAAGACAGCTGTCGGGGGCTCACCGCTCCCACCGGGGCTGTGTTGGCATTGGGATAATCAAGAGGGAGGCAGGCTGCAATCCAGCAGACATTCACCACAGCTCACTAATAAGCTGGTGGCTGGGCCTGTTAGGTCAGCAGACAGGGTGATTTTATCTAGGCAACTGTGCATTCGTGAAGGAACTGGGAGAGGATCATACATAGGGTGAAAGCTTTTAAAATCTCTGTTGTGCTGCAGTGTCCTTCCCATCAAGTCTTTCCCCCTCTTTCTTTAATGGTCAGAAGAGCTAGAATTGTATTTAAGTTGCCTTGGGAAACAAACAGGAAACTGGACCCTGGGCTAGCAAGAGTGATCACGTGCCATGAAAAAATAATAGTAGACGGAGAGAAGAATGAGGCTCATTATTACAACCCTCTCAAGATACGTAATATTTAGTATTGTTCATGAAAGCCCTATGAAATTAAGATCCATGCTATTATTCTAAGACTTCATGGAATAAAAAAATTATTTTGGACAAATTGAGTTTGATAGAATGTTTTCTCACTGAGCCATCCAGATACTTGAGGGAAATCATCCTTCTGGATAACGGAGTTTCCCAGAGAACTCTAGGTTTACCTCTTTAAGTATCAAAACATGTAATTTTTAATTTTCACTCTTGTGAGTGCACCTCTTTCTTCACCAGAGTACATGACAATTAAATAGTTCTTAATACCTCATGCCATTATTCTACAGTGTAATGTACCATATGGTAAATGGTAACAAGGAATTGATACCATTTGACCCTTCTAGATGACCCCAAATAATGTTTTTTTTAAAATATCTGCTCTTCTCTATTTATTGTGTCTTCTTGTTCTGTCTAGGACTGTGTACCCCTCCCCTAAAGTAGTTTTCCTTCTGATCCATTTTGTAGATTTGGGAACCAGAAAACAAAGCTTATTTGAATAATATATACATTAAAAGTAAACGGGGCCTGAGTTGGCGCATGGAGGGTGCTCTTATTAGGAAGGGTAAATATGCTTTTTTTTTTTTTTTTTTTGGCTTGAATTTCTTGATAACTACAGTGAGACCCTGAGGCCTTTTCACTTCCTTTTCCTCAGCTGTGTGCTTTGGGTCTGAAGCTGCCAGTCAGCAGATCCAGAGGAGTGGGGTGATCCTGCCTAGAACTACCTGTGAGCCTTAGCAAAGTCACTCTATTCTATTTGACAGAACGAGGAGAAAAAAAAATGAAAGCACCTCAAACAGTAGTGCCCGCTTTTCTGCTTAAGTCCTAAGTCAAATCTAACCCGAAGTTTTCTAAATTTTTAGATACAGTCTCTGTAAATATAATGACAAAATTTTTGCTGCCCTCTTGGGATTACTTTTCCCAGCTATCGGTGTGTTTCTGCAGACATTCTATTTGATAAGATATTTTGTAATATTTCATGAGAGATTTTCCAGAATTCTCTATTGGTCGTAATTTTCCACCAGAAGTTCTGTAAGTAGTATAAATCTTGCTTTTACCCCCTGAACATGCTGTGTGAGATTGGAACAACAGAAATGGAACTAACATTTCTGGACCACGTATCCTGTCCTGGGTGCTCTAATAGAAGCCTCTCCATTCCCGTCCCTGAGGCAGCCCTGTATGGGGAGGGATCTCTGCCCTGTTTGAAGGATGAGAAAACGTCAGTAACTTGTCCAGGGCCACGTACGTGGCTGGTGTGCAGCAGGGACAGGTTCACACCTGGCTCTGTCTCTCTCTAACTCAAGTCTCCACCCACTGCAGTAACCAACGTTCATTGTGCCCTTTCAGATGCCAGGTACTTACCAAGCCTGTCATGTGTATTATCTCCTTTCATCCCCTCAATACACGTTATGAGGTAGAGCGACTTAACTATTTCCATTTCACAGACGAGGAAACCGGTGTGGCATGTTCAAGTAACTTGCTCAGGATAGCTCTGTCTTCAGAGCTCATGCTCAGAACCCACAACGCATGGTCACCTCCCTAGGCCCCATATACTTAGACACGTAGACTCGTACTACACGACGGCGGAAAGGAAAAACACACAGAAGTGTGTGCTCATTCTGTTGCCTCATTTTTAGAAGGTGAAGTTAGCATTTTTAGTGCAGGAGAACTTGTAGAGAGAAAGGTGAACTGGATAAAGAATTTGGAGGTGGGTAGATGAGCCTCCATAGTTACTGTCCTCCTGAAGCACTTTAGTATACGGAATTAAAATGGGTTTTGAGGGCCTCTTATTAAAAACTTTCCTCGAGAATGTTTCGGGAGTATTCCCAGCGGAGGTGAAGGTCTAGTGGGTGCGACGTACACTGGGAGGCCCAGCCAACCGATGGTGGTGTACGTCCTCACAGGGAGACACAAAGGGCTGATCAGGAAGAGAAACCATCAGCTGCAGATGGAAACCAGAATTTCCCCCTCGAGCAATTTATCAATAGTTCCAGGCCTGCCTCAGCGTCATCTTGGCATTGCCGAAGAAGTCTGCTTTCACTGGTCACAGTTAACGCTTTGAATAACCACACGGAAAGGAACCGCATAGATCCAGTGACCCTGCCTCGGTCTGTATAACCTGGATCCAAGCCCGGGGCCAGTGACCCCTTGTCTCGCTGACCCCTCCCCTCCCTCCTCCACGTTCTGGGAATCATCTGGTGTCAGAGCTGTGGCTGGCGACTGGGGGACTGACTGGCTTGATGCTGGGACTTCAGGGCTAGCTCAGCTGCAGAAAGAGTCAGCACTAACCTTCCTAACCACGCGTTATCATCTCTTCTTTTTCTCAAATACTGGGTAGTACTTACTTTCAAAGACCTGAAGGTGGCCTTTGTAGGTTATACTTTCAATCTTAGAGATTTAATTTTCAAAGTTACTTTCTTAGGCCCTTTGTTCTCTCACCCTGCTTTCAAACAGAGCATAGCCTCTTGGGGTGGGCAGTGGTCCAGAGGGAGACCACCTCCACCTCCGCAGTGATGCTGACTAGTGATGGGCACGGCAGGCAGGTAGGCAAGGAGAAGCAAATGAGTGATAATTTAGCCCCGAGGTGTGCTGGAGAGAACGTAGGTTTAGGGCTCAAAAGCTAATCCTGCCACCTGTAGGTTGGGTGACGTTAGGCAAGGCCTTTCGCCCCTCCCGCAGCGGGATCCTTGTGTGTAAACGCGCTGAAGTCAGCGGAGCTGTCGTGATCGCATGACGTCGTGTCCCAGCGCCTGGCACAGCAGCGCTCGGCG